TTGGGCGCACACACACACATGCACCTGGTGCGAGTTTAAGCCACCGGATTCGGGACTTGAACCACGGTCGACTACATGGGAGTTCAGCAACATAGCCATTACGCTAACTGCTGGTCCCAAATGAATGGTTTAAACAGCAAAATATTCATGTTTTCCAGTTCTGGGGGCCAGAGTGTCAGCATGGTCAGGTTCTTGGTGAGGGCTCTCAGCCTGGTTTGCAGATGGCTACCTTCTTGGCCTATCCTTATCTGGTAGAAAAAGAGGCCTTCTATTTTATGTCTCAGTGGTTTGGTCTCAACTTATGTGGACACTCGCCCCATCATGAAGACTCTACCCTCATGTCCTAATTACTTCCTAAAGGTCCCACCGCCAAATAACATCCCTTGAGGATTAGGCCCCAGCATATGAATGAGGAGGACCACAAGGATTTAGTCTGTAGCCAGGGGAGGGCCCACGTGTGTTGTCTGTTTGCAGTGCCATCTAGCGGCTCTGTCACACATCTCACTATGTCCCATAGTAACTACAGTAAAAAGTACCATTCAGATAAGCACGTGAATAATTGTTATTATATTGCCTCTGATCTGCCGTTAAAATGCCTTCAAATAAACTTAAGGAATTACTTATTTTTTAAAAGGAGAGTTTTCAAAAATAATTATCAAATGTTAAGTCACGCTAGGATGAAATTCCAACTTATGGAAGAACAGACTTCTTTAGAAAAAAAAGTTTAATTAAAACAATATGTTTTTATAGTAATGTTCTATAATTATACCTTTAATTTTGTAATTTTTTATAACTAAAGGGATTTAACAATTCACATTCCTGTATATGTTTGAATAAACACAGAGTTAGAGAAATAGAAAAGAAGAAAAGTCAGGCAGGGAACACTGTTTAGAAAAGAAGCTTATTATAAGATCTGCTGTCAGGATCTGTTTTTGTAGCTTGCCAGGATTCGGGGTGGGGTGGAGATGCAGAGACGAGAGAAAAAGCAGAGAAGGATGCAGGGGGAGGGAAGGTAGTTAAGGGTATTGCAGACTGGCTTTATATATTTTTGCTTATTGGAAATAAATACTGTGGCATTATCTGCACCCCAAGATGTTCTAAAACCAAATGGAGATATAAGAAGGATCTAGAAGGATCTACAGCTTCGAGCATTACATATATATCAAACAAGTAAAAGTCGACTGTGAGAAATTAAGGCTGTTTACTTGAGTTAGTCATTGTCTGGGTGTGTCCAGATACACCAGTGGAAGGAGTGCTGAATCCATGTTCTTGAGTCGGAAGAGAATGTTTAAAATTTTCTTTTTTTTTTTTTCTAGGAGAAAAAGCTTTTATGTATTGTTCAAAGTATAAGTAGTTCTATTATGTCTCTTCCTAACATAAGAGCTGATGAACAAAGAATGCAAAAAATCAAACAAACAAAAACAAAAACACTGGAAGACATTTGCTCTATTCCTGACTTCAAGAAAGGCCATGGGCAAATTCGCTTTGGGGAAATATTGTTTCTTTACAGAAATAAGGTGTGTGAGTGAACTGTTTTAGCAGGTTCCTTTCAGCAGTAACATCTTGCACTTACATTGACGTTCTTTCCAGCACAATATATTATTTTATATTATTTTATTTTTTAAAGATAGTTTTTGGGTCCAGTTGGTGGCATGGTAGTTGGGGGTGGCTGGATTGTACATGGCCAATTGTGTAGTTTGAGTCCTAGACATGGTGGCTTGAAAAACATGCAGAGACACCTCACAAGGAAAATGTTAAGACCCCTGCTTTGGAGAAGTGTACCCAAGTCCTGGTCACACTTTGGATGCCTATGTGTGGTCCATTTCTCTGGGGTTCCCTTTTCAGTTTTACAGATATGGGGCTTCAAAAAGTTCCTAGAAAAAATCGAATTAAAATATAAGTTTATTTTAGTGCAAAGAGATTTGCTTTTGAAGTTAATGCACATTTTTCCCATAATATGTATTTTCTAGGACCCCTGTGAAGACCTCATACACAACACACTCTCCCATCTCTGGGCTTCTGCCTGGAAAGCTCCCATGTACACAAAAAACCCTCCAGCCTCAATCTCCTTGTTGTTCTCTTTTTCCGTTTAGTTTCTTTCTTTCTTTTATGAGCATGATAGAGGAGAGAGAATACAAGCACCCACAACAGGATCTCACTCCATGAGCGACCCCAGACCCCCAAGCGGGATCATGGGTACCAGGCATGTCAGGGTGGCCAGGGAACCAAACTTGAGATCTTCTGCATGGATTCAGCATGTGTGATACTGCTGTTCCCAACCCTGTTTGTTTGTTTTGCCTGCAAGGAACAAACGTTTTCCTCCTGAAGAGTGAACATAAGTGTTCCTGATTTTTCTGATTTTCCACGCCTCCTGGGCATGCCCGTTTCGTATTGTTCAGAGGCTGTTCCAGACGTGTGTTCCTTTACCAGACAGCTCCCGCCCTCTGGTGGTAAAGGTCTAGTACTACAGTATAACAGACCTGTAGTGACTACCGCGGTGGTTGGTTATTTTTGCCTAAATGAGGACAGTGATTGGGTTACAAGTGTCTGTAGGCCAGTTCTTCTAACCCTTAGGTTGCAATGCAGTGGGTGTGGCGTGTCCTTCATGATAAGCATGGGTGTGTAGCTGGACAATTGCCCTCACACATAATTATGGTGGTTAATTAACCACCGGGGAAATCTGACTAAAGCTGGGTTCACGGCCTCAGCTCCACAAGCTCCGTCTCAGCGGGCCTTGGATGTGGCCAAGGAGTCTGCACGTGTAAAATGCCACGGCCAAGGGAGCTGGACCCCGCATGACCAACTGTGATGTGAATACTTGCCCCAGGGTGCCTGTGCATGAGTGCCCCTAAATCCAGACAGAATGGAGGAATGTAGGAGGAGTCAGGGCATGACCATGCTCCCTTGGGGAGTGCTTTCTCTCTTTCTCTCCTCTCTCTTTCTCTCTGGTAAGCACATGTGCAGTTAATCAAAGAATAATACATAGAATAAAATATGCCCAGGCTGGCTTTGTGGTGCAGGGGTAATGCCCTGCTAGAGAGAAGCTGGATCCCACATGGCAACCACTATTCAAATCCCCAACCCCAGCAGCCCGTGCACATGTGCAAGTGTCTAAGATCTGACGGGCTGCAGTGCTTAAAAAGCAGACCGGATCGCATCATGGCCAGACCTTGACGGAAGTGCCCATCTCTCTCACTCACTCTCGCTCTCTCAGATCTCTCTCTCTCTCTTTCTCTCTCTCTCTCTCTCTCTCACACACACACACAGCTGGGAACCGCAGATATGTGTGTGTGACTTTAATGTATATGATTGTCATTTATGTACAACTGTTGTTTTTGTTTTCATGAATCAGGCTACCAGTACTAGAGTGATTATGAGTGGTGTCATCACCCTGCAAGGTGTGAAGTCACTGTATACTAGCCCATTGATCTTAGCTCATCTGTATGCTCAAATTCTTCCTGTGTACAGAATTTAAGTTTCCCACCTTAGTGTTGCGCTTCTCTGCCTGGTAAACCCACCCGTCCTACTAGCGTGGTGTTCCCAGTCTGGCTACTAGAGTGAGCCATCCCCCATGGGAGGCCAGCCAGGCAGGTGCTCAGAGGCCAGCCAACGCGAGAAGTGACCGGGAGCATATTTCAGATTTATTAAAAAAACACACACAGGTAACGAATCAGAGCTTTGGCTAGGAATGACTGGAAAAGGAATTGAAGGCCTTATTCCACAAAACGTTCACAGTCGTGCGCTAGAGGCCGGCCGCGGGGAGGGTTCTAGAAGCATTTGCGGTGCACAATGGAGGGCCCAGCCTCGTCATACTCCTGCTTGCTGATCCACATCTGCTGGAAGGTGGACAGCGAGGCCAGGATGGAGCCGCCGATCCACACCGAGTACTTGCGCTCGGGAGGCGCGATGATCTGTCAGGAAAGGAAAGAAGGCTTGTTAGCGTGGTCTTGAGTGCCCGTGGGCACCACCGGGACAGGTCATGTTCGTGCAGGGACACGCTGGGCTACTTGACAACCAGTAGCCTCGGGCTTAGAGACGTCCATGCGCACTTTTGTCTCCTGGTTTCCTTCACACACCGACTTCCAAACCATCCAGATCTCCTCCGTGGCTGTGCTGAGCACACTGGAAGTTGGCCCCAAATCTTGCCTTGGCCTCCACTGAGGGGCTCTGGCAGTGGCCCTGGCTTCTGGGCTGAGATCAAAACCAGCATGACACACGCTTTCTGGGGAAACAACACCAGCAGTCCCCAAAGGAGAAGGTTTAATACTGCTTTTCCCCAAGTGAGTCAGCCATGGCCCTCTGCACTGCCACGGGATGCACCGCTTAGCACGGAGGGACTGGGGTTCCTCTTGGAATGGACATCTCCCCAGGGTGGGCCTCCTCAAACTGTGCTGGTCTTTCCCAGAGCACAGGCCTGACCGGCCAGGGCATGCTCCAGGGTTCTTAAATACAGAACAGTTCAGGCCCAGAGAGCAGTCATTAGGCCAGGGATCCATCCTGCACCAACTCCACAGGACAGCTACAGTTGAGCAATTCCAAATTCTACCCCACTTCAATTCTGGGATAAGATGAATATGGACACTTGGGCCAACAGTGGTTAAAGGGTCTGATTTCTGAGCATGCCCCAAGCTCTGGGTGAGCATTTAATTTTTTAATACAAAGAGCTGATACTGTGCACCTACTATGCACCAGTACTAAAAGAAACATTGCATAAGGGTGACTTCATTCAGTTCTCAGAACCACATAAAGGCAGAAGTTCCAAATCGCTCCCACACTGCGTGGGAGGAAACAGGCAGAGCCAGGCTGAGCCAGCCCGCCCAGGTCCTGTCACTGTCAGACCTGATACTCAAACCTGGGCCCTCCCAGTTCTGTGCTTTGTTTTGCTTTGCTTTGTTTTAGATATACTTTTTGGACCAGTCCTTATAGTCTAGTGGTTAAGGGAGCTGGGTCCCATATGGTCAAGTGCAGTTCAGATCCCAGCCCTGGTGACTTAAAAAGCTAGTCTCTTCACAATCTAAATGATGTATAGAGATTCAATGTATGAATAATAATTTAAAAAATTAAAAAAGAAAAGAAAAGAAAAGGAAAAAGAACAACCAAAAACCACATCTGGCACATGTGTGCATCACAATCTAAATGATGTATAGAGATTCAATGTATGAATAATAATTTAAAAAATTAAAAAAGAAAAGAAAAGGAAAAACAACAACCCAAAACCACATCTGGCACACGTGTGCATGCCCCAAATCCCAATGGGATGGAGAAATGGAGGAGTGATTGTGGTGTGAGTACACTCTACAGGGGGTGGTCCCCCACCCCCATTTCTCTATCTCTTCCAATTTGAAAAAAAAAGACCACCTTTTTATTTTGGAATAATTATAGAGTTCATGAAAACTTTACAAAAACACTACATGGTGTGGGAATCAGCAGTTAGCGTAATGGCTATGTCGCTGGACTCCCACGTGACCGCGGTTCGCGTCCTGGACCTGGTGGCTTAAACTCACGCCGGGCGCGTGTGCGTGCGTGCCCAAGATCCCGAGAGGAGAATGGAGGAGAAGGGATTGCGGCGTGACCATCCCCCCTGGGGGGTGATTTCTCGCTTTCTGTCTCTATGTCTCTCTCTGTCTGTCTGGCGAGCGCACGCGCCCTATAGCGAGAATGTCTCAAAAAAAAAAAAGAAAAGAAAAGAAAACACTACAGGGAGTTTCCCTTGACCCCTCACCAGTTTCATCTTCACCTAATATTACCATCTAGGCCCCAGGTTTTAATGGCACTGTAGACTCGCACACCATCTGGGGCACCAAGATGCACATTCATTTTCACTCAAGGCACCAAGCTGGGAGACTCAGGAACTGCCCACCTCTAGCCACAGCCACTCCCTCTTCTATACCCTTAAGAAGTTGGCTCTGCAGAGCCCAGCAGCGGCCTTCTGCCTCCTTTCTCTGTGAGGCAGTGAGCAGAGGAACGTTCAAGAAGCATAAACCTTCTGAAAAGTCTCTTCGCTCACCCTGGAGTCATTGGGGCAGGTCTTCCTGGAGACCGCTGGGAAGGGGGTGTGTTTCACTTTCACATTGCCTACATATCCTTTCCAAAAAAGAGAAAAGATAGGACCAGCAGATGACATAATGGCTACGTTGCTGGACTCCTATGTAGTTGACCGCGGTTCGAGTGCTGGACCTGGCGGCTTAAAATTCACTCCAGGCACGTGTGCATGTGTGCCCAAAATCCTGAGAGGAGAATGAAGGAGAAGGAATTGCAGCATGGCTAGCTCCCTTGGGGATTTCTGTCTCTCTGTCTCTCCAGCGAGTGCAAGCGCCCTATAGCAAATATCTCTCAAAAAATAAAGAGAAGAGATACAGTAATGGAGAAGTTGTCTACTTCTCAGGTATGTGACTTACACTAGACTTGTCCCTTCTGCTGCTTCCTGTGACATGGGTCAAAGGGTGCCTGCCTGACCTTCTGACTTCAGGGAGTAAGAGCCTTTGAGCAGTCCCCAGCCACGTGCACGCTGCCTCCCAAGAACAAGCTCCATTTGATCTCTGTTCTCTGCTCAGGACTCACAAGTCACTCCGTCCAGGGGCCCTGGGTGGCTCAGGGACTGAGTTTGTTCACCCTAGAGATAGTCTGTGCTTTTGAGCACCTGTATCAAATGGGGTGTCAGGCAGAGAGAGGAAGGTGGAATGGCAATCCCCTGCCACTGAGGTGTGGTCACATTTAGTTGTAGAAGAAGAGGAAAGGCTCCTGAACCGACTAGGTTACACTACTTTAAAAAGAAACCTGCCTCGTCTTGTCTGTACTTTTTTTCTAATGTTCTACACATGAGAACCAGAGTTTGGTGTTAAAAAACAACAAAATGCATATTCTACTGTACGTTGTAATAGCCGGAGGGCATGTGCCCTTGCCAGAGCGAGAGGGGGAAAGCATCCCCCACGGGACGTGGGCATGGCACCATCCTTTCCCTCCATTTCTCCTTCAGGCCAGAGTTTGGGCACTCACACACATGTGCCAGGTGTGCTTTCCAAGCTGCAGGGGATGGGATTTGAACCACAACTGGCCACGTGGGATCTGGCTCCCTTGACCACTACACTATGGGGCCAGCCCACAAAATGTATACCCTAAAGAGAATATACTGCCACTGCTGGGAGTCCCTGATGGACAAGGGCAAGTGTCGATCAAATTGTGCATAAAATGACCCGTTTTCCCTGATGAACTGGATTATCCTTGGCAAATACAGGAAGTGCGGATTGTTGTCCATGGCCCCGCCCTAGAGCATGTAAGTGTGCGTGCCCAGGAAGTGGCCTCTGGGGAGCCCTTCATGGGTTAAAGGGTGGACACTACTAGCAGCAGAGCCACAGGTCTGCCCCCAACAGCACCTTGATCTTCATCGTGCTGGGTGCTAGAGCCGTAATCTCCTTCTGCATCCGGTCGGCAATGCCGGGGTACATGGTGGTGCCCCCAGAGAGGACGTTGTTAGCGTAGAGGTCCTTCCTGATGTCGATATCACACTTCATGATGCTGTTGTAGGTGGTCTCGTGGATGCCGGCAGACTCCATCCCTGGAAAGAGACATGGGTGGGTGTCCTTGGGTGGTGGGTAAGACCAGGTGAAATGTGCAAGACCAGCCAGAAACTGGGCTGAGGTGAGGTGGGCGTGACAGTCCAGGAACTGCTCAGGCGCAGGTCCCCTGCCTCTTGTCCCAGGAAGAAGCCCTGCTTCCGCATCTCTGGGGCAGACCCACAACACAAACTGATGATTGTTTGTTTGGAGGTTTTTGCCTTAGGACATGTGCGCCCATCAGAGAGAAAAAGAGACTGACACAACGAGAGAGACGTTGAGAAATCACCCCTGGGGTTGGCGAGGTGGGGGATGGCCACAGCGCAATTCCTTCTCCTCCATTCTCCTCCTGGGAGTGAAGAAGGGATTGCGGCTGTGGCCATCCACTCCAGGGGGGTGATTTCTTACTTTCTGGCTCTCTGCCGAGCACGTGTCCTATACAAAACAATCTCTCTTTTAAAAAGCAAAGGAAAGAAAAGAAATGCATTTTGGTTCTGGGGCCCTGTCATATGTCTTCACACGCGGCAGGGCCATGGGCTGGCTGGATAAGGGAGGTTAGGGGGACTCTTCCCAAAAAAGAGGCGTTTGTTGCCTACCGATGAAGGACGGCTGGAACAGGGTCTCTGGGCAGCGGAAGCGTTCGTTCCCGATGGTGATCACCTGCCCGTCAGGCAGCTCGTAGCTCTTCTCCAGGGAGGAGGAGGATGCAGCTGTGGCCATCTCGTTTTCAAAGTCTAGTGCCACATAGCACAGCTTCTCCTTGATGTCCCGGACAATCTCGCGCTCAGCTGTCAACGAGACACAGATGTTAGGGCGTGGATTAGGGTGTGTGCTCACATGGAAAGGTCCATCTGTCCTTCAGCTCCTCAATACATGTTTCTCCAAAATTGAGGGCTGGTCCAATATCCCACAGTCTTGGATCTAGGATGGTAATTACATGGTAGGTCGACCAGGAAACCGCCTCTGCTCCTAGCAGGTGCCCGGCACATAGGAGACCCTTAGTAAATGTCTAGAAAATGCAAGACAGGAATAAAATAAACCAGCCAGAGAAGGGCAAAGACTACAGAATCTTTGCAAGCTGTATCTTTTTTTTTTTTTTCTTGCGGGATAACCAATCACCCTCTGTTATAATTGTTTTGTAACAGTTTGTTATTCTGGATTTTTGATTGAACAGGAAGTCTTAGGCTGCCTCAGCTCCACAGGGATCTCAGTTTCCAGGTGGAATCCAGCTTAAACCCTTGACACATTCATGACCTTCCAGAAGGAGGCGGGTGCTGGCTCAGGACCAGTCCCCATCCAGAGGAGATGTGGAAGAAGTGGGCAGGTGTTTCAGACCTCTGTGCTCGGAAGTTCTAAACTCTCGGGTACATCTGAGCCCCTGAGAACCTTTTGGGGTGTCGGGATTCTTTGAGGAGGAATGGAATTTTAAGTCTCTCCCACAGGAAGAGACTATAATCTCATGAGGGCTTAAACCCGGAGCCTAGGATAAGCCCCAGGCATGTCCAGAAACAAACATTTGGACAATGGGAAGGGAAGGCAGGCAGCAAACACTACCAGTGTTAGGGACAGTGTTTCTAGTGCCCTCTTGTGGAAGGAGGCTGCATGGCACCAGCTGAGTGAAAGCAGGAATACTGCTCTTCAGCATCCAAGGATTGCTCACTGGGGCTGGGAATTCCACGTGCATTTTTCTGGTACTCACAACAATAGTGTGAGATAAGGCCTGCTATTACACCCATTTTACAGATAAAGAGACCACGGCTTAGTATGGTTGGTTGACTTGTCCAGGGTCACGCTGCTAGTGAGTGGCAGAGTAAGGATCCAAGTCCAGTCTCGCTGTCTCCAAAGATTGCCAATCATCACACGCTACCCTCTTCAGTCTACGCAGGCCGACTTTCTGTTGGTTAATGGAGGGGATTATAATCTGTCTACTGCAGATCATGAGATGACTATAATTGTTCTTCTCAAAGAAATAGCATAATCGGTTTGCAATTTCATGTAGCAAAAAGCAAAAAAACTGGGATTTTTCTCTGTGCATTAGCATCAGGCCTCGCCATGTGTGTGTCTTCATCCCGTGGTCTCCTTGGGGAGTCACTGTGGTCCCATAAGTTATCGTGAACAACCGCTGCCCTAGACCCTGTCCCCCTGTTTCCC